GATGATAAGTGAGTACGTTTGTTGGAAACCACCGGTAGAACGTGGACACTTTTTTTACTAAACTTGCCACAAAATAATCTTGGATCAATGTCGTACACGTATGTCAAATATTAAGAAATAATATTTTTCGACATCGTTGCTCGGTCATCGATTACTTAATGTTACTAACAGATTTCGCACTATCATGTTGTTTGGCAGAAAGCCGTGGGCATTATTTTAATGTTTCCGAGAAAAAATATCTCAACTTTATTAATGTTTTACACGTTATTTTTGTAGATATTCTTGGGAATTGCGATTCCAAATACTTTCATATAAAAATCAAAATACATACTGCACACGTGCGCAAGAGTATGTATACTGGCGTCGTTCCCAAAAACAACATTACGACATTTTGTCAATGTTATCACAAAACCACTTTTTACACATTTGACCGCAGACGCAGACTAAATATATAATATTATCTGATTCACAGAATAATGGAGGCAACAAAAAACATTGGATTCATAGAATGTTGTTCTTGTTCCGCATTCTGGCTAAGTACAGTAGGTTCAGAGATTTAAGGCCCAATTTGAATATACGGACAAATCACAAGGAGGCACGGAGATGCATACATGCATGCGTTAACTGGAAGCATACACAACGTTAGCTGGAAACGCACAACAAAGTGGAATGATGAGAAGCGCGGATTCCGTTAAACTGTAAGACGATCGATACCACACGACGCGCGCTTAATAAATGTTTGGGAAGACATTTTATTGCTGTCTTTGTATCCTCACGATTCACTGCTGTCACGGCGACAGCAAACATCAGAAGGGACATCAATACGATTAGTCCTACCCAAACAAAGCAGCGCGAGCGGTTGCCGCGTGCGAGCTACGACAATTGGGACTTTCTAAGGAAACTCCGTTTCTAATAAATATGACTACATAACATTAACACATCTGTTTTGTAGCTTGCCTATGTTTTGAGTTATTCTAATTACATTAAAGCTGAAGGCCGATCAGCGGAAAATTCAAAATATCATTAAATGGAATATTTGAACGTAGATTCTTAGAAGACGGAGAATAGGTTCTGTAATTATTAATTCCGCTGTATTACTGGTGCACTTGAGGTGTAACAATCAACAGATAAATACAACGTAATGACGCCGACGGCCGTCTATCAACCTGTCACTGCCACACAACTATCGCAATCTTTAAACACGATAAATTACACCTATTCACACGTACAAGAACAATTTAAACAAGCGACTGGTGTCCGACCACCTCACGATGTTATCACCTTTAGTTAGCGAGGAAAAAAACGACTGATAGATACATAGGTAATTATCACTCTATTCTAGCTTCGGAAAATGCATAATAGTTCTCAAGAATTCTGAAGCAGGTAACGTTGTAAAATAATTATGTACGTTAGGGTTTTGGAAAGTCCCACATGTTGCGAAAAAAATTGCAAATCGCGAATCAAAAGTAAATGAATCAAACTATGCGTCACCATCAGTAACAAACAAAAAGATTTTATGAATAAAATTTTATCGTGTACAATCTGCGACAAAATTACAGATAAGATATTGGCGTCACAACCCACGCTCAGGCAATGTTCTCTCTACTGTACCCGATAATAACTGCATTTACGACGCTCTTACGCAAGTCTGTACGCTTCTAAAATAACAATGCGCGCTTAGTATGCACGACTTTTAGAAATATCCTTTTAACACAGTTATGACGTTTTGTTTATCAATAATAAATATCCTACCGTTACGACCGTTACCAAGAACTTGAACGCTTAGACTTACTTTACGGCTTACGGCATAGTATTTTCAAATCTCTAATGCACTTTATAGCTTCACGATCCTTATAAATAATTTATATTCATTTAAGTAGCAATATAGAAACTCGTGTAGCGAAGAGCAAATTCATGCAATTAAAATAAATGCACTTAGCAATTCCTTACAGTACGTATTTGAGTACGGTTTCACAGCGCGCATTTCCAAGGGGTTTTCGATATTTACTAGTTCCATGTGCACATAAAAGCGAGGTCCCCGGACGAGAACTGTGTACATCTGTACATGCCCCACTGGATTCCACTCACATATATTCTCATTTGGTCTATTTTATGTACACTCGTGATGTATGTATGCAACGGATAAATATTTCTCCTGTTCCGAATTCAAGTAAAATCCAAATACATCAATGTTGCCATCATAAATCGTCAATGTTTATGTACGCAAAAAACACACAAGTCTGTTCATTCACAATATGTATGTTTACTCACCGCCGACGCGGCTTTGCGTTTAATTTTAACTAGTCAGCAGAATCCCAGGCGTTCAAGGTTCCGAGGTAAAAATGCGCATAGATAATCTAGCGACCGCGATGTCATTAATAAATGAGGAAAAAATATGTAGTAGTAAACAAGAATGCAGTAAACACGTGGAGGCGCTCACAATGGGTGCTGATACCATTATCGTAACTTTATCATGCATTATAATGGGCTTTCTTAGAAGCGAAATAGCCTGGCGCACAATTATCGCGGCTTCTGTGAAACGTCAGTCTGTGCTCGTAATTATGTGGGTGCACCGACTACCAAGGTTTCGTTGTTTTACTTACAAAAATTGAAACTATTATAGATAGTTTAGATAAGAACACAATAGATTACTAGGAAGCATGTATAACGCGGGCGGACACTGAAGCTTGTGATGTAGATAAATAGCCACGTTAATGTATTACGTAATGATTAGAAACTGCCCAATATCGTACGTAACGTAGCATACCAAGAATAGACAAACTAAAAAATAATATTATTTAGGGATTCCCCAAGTAACTACGCTGACAGCTGATTGCAAATAATATTTCGCAATATAAATATGTGGACAGTTTTCTTCATCTTAAATAAAGTCCTGAAATCCCACTCCACACTCCAATAGGTACATTCGTGAAGAGACATGTGTGTGCATGTGTGTGTGTGTGTGTGTAGCCAAAGTTAAAATTACGGCTAGACGCCAAGTGTTTATAGCCAGACATAAACAACAAATGTTTTCTGTCATCACGCGGAGGCTCAGAGCAGCGTCCTTATGTATCATGTCGTGTAATAACGAAACGAATTAATAATTACAATTTAAATCACAATGTTACCGTTGATGTACTAATTAACAAGTCATTACTTTTATGACTGACTTAATGAGTACCTTTACAAAATGACTTGTACGGTAATTAGCATAATTTCTAGACAAGCTAGTTCAGTACAGCAACAATAACAAAGTTATGGGCGAACATAATCTCCTCTTGTTTAATTAATTCGTAGAATACGTTAATTCTATGTCGAAAATAACTTTCAACGATTCTATCAAGTTTGTACTGTCACCGGCAAAAGCTGTAATTTTGTGTCCCACCACAAATTGGTCCTTTGAGACGACTACACTAATTAAATTACATTTATGACTCGTTTACTTATTATCATTATTGACGACAGTTTTAAATACTCCTATCTGCATGTAGTACACCATCAGTTACTGCACCCATTGGTTGGCAAAGTACCATAATTATAGTTCTAAGAAAATACACACACTTTGATTTAATTACATACATATTTTCACTCATCATCGAACCGTTTTCTCGTTGATTGTACGCTTGCAATGGGGCGCGTCGTAAAATGTTAATTGGTCCTCAATGGCTCACATTACTATTTCTGCGAACTCCTAAGATTTACGCGTTAAATACTTAGGGTTTTTTACTCGTGTAATACGCATATAACTACGCTACGGCTTTATTTACAACGAAATAGTAAATAAGATTACTGAGAAGACGAACCATTTAATGTGCTAGTACATAAAAATGTCAACTACTTGTAGTTAATTACAATTCCTATTACAAAGTATAAAATACACGCAAGTTTATCATTACTGATAGGTAGTTAGTGCTACACTCAGAAACTGCTTAGCTGATTTTGTTTAAACTTAGCACAGAGATAGACCATGACCCGGATTATTATTTGAGTTATCTATCATTAAAATTCACATAGTTCGCAATCAATTGGACCTATGTTAGTTTTTTTGCTGGTTTCTTGTAGACAGAACCAGTTTAATATCTCATCAGTTATCTTAAAGGTCTCGCCCGGTCATTTTCATTATTCTGATGAACGATTGTCCACAATTTCGAACATAAAACATGTTATTGTTTTTCAAGATATAATTCATAGAATTTCCAATAACTTGTTTTGTTTATGTTAATATTCGCATGAATGCTGAATGATAACTTAACCTATGACTTTCGTACACGCAACTTTGATTTGTATTCAAGATCGTTTAGAAAATGGTTTCATAAAATTTTATCTCATGTTTTAGAATCATAAAAAAATGTTTTGTTAATTTTCCTTCCGACGAAATTTGTCAGATGTTTTTTAAGATAAGAAAATTGTTGAAAGTTGGGTGTGACGTAAACATCTCTTTTGAAATTGAGGTACTTAAATAATTCAAGTATTTAAGACATTCAATGTCTTCAATGCTTTGACGTTACCTATTTTCCCGTTGACTAGGAGTCATGTATTAGTCGTAGTTTATTCATTTGGGTTATCCGAACAATTTTCGATTCTGGCTAGAGAGGAAACACACTTGCTTTATGATCTCACCCAACATATCCGCAGTAGGCAAGTTGGACGAACCCGAAATTAATGCCCGAATAACTCTTTCGTATAGTAACAACAATAAACTTCGGGCAAGTAACAATAAGGGAGGTTTGGGCAAATCAAATAGTTGTTGAAGTACCTAAAACATATTCAAACTTTGCTATAGTTTAGCAATATTCCTGTAGCTCGGAGTCGGAAAGTTATACAAAGACGGGAATTCAATACCTATTCGAGAAGTTAATATATTATTTATATTTGGAGCCGAGTGGGTACAGAAACTACTGAGGGACAGACAATACTGGTACCAAAATTGGGACTTTCTTAGATTTGAGCGTTATGACTTCCAACTGATGATGAGGATACTGTGGGTAAGAGTTTCTTACCTTCTGTGGTGTGGATTCGGAAGCTGAGCGGAGCTTGGCACGACCAGCTCCGCCTGCTTGGCGGATGGCTGCCATGAGGTTAGAGTGGGCGTCGCCACCGGCTGGAGGCGCTGGCGCTGGAGTCGACGACGGAGCCTTCTCTTTCCTAGATACAAAAATAATATTCATTGTTATGGTTTGTTGAAATAATCTTAGGAAATAAAGGGTCCGTGATTTATTTCTCAAAACAAGGTCAAATGTGTTTTCAAAAAACCTATTGTTCTAGCGCACAACGAAGGAACAAAGGTCAAATTAACTACATTGTACTATAACCACGATAGGTATGTAGTATGTACTGACGACAGATCGTGAGAAATTACGTGTTGATAAGAATAATTAAATATATAAATTAGCCTGTAAACTGTGGGGTAGGGCCTTGCAAATATGAGCATTGATCAACTGTACGTCATTCTCATTCGTAGAATCTAAATAAACTTACGAGAGTACAATGTACTTAGGGAAAAATAACCTTTCGAACGCAAATTCTCATGCTTAAAAAGGCATTAAATACCTTCGGGCCACAATATCCGTAATATAATGAAAATTATTACGAATTATTAAATTTATTACAAAGGATTCCTTAGCGGTTCGCATAAATAATTAAATTAAACACCGATTAATTTGTTTACCAGATCCTTGTAAGTTTCTTGGTAAGCCATAATAAATAATATTAAACGTACACGAACATGAATGGAACGAGTTCAACATTACGGTCACACCTGCACCAAGTACCAACTAATACGCGATGACTTGATGATTCTCCCCTAACTCAATGAAATCGTATCCGGTATTGGATTAATAGCAGATGTATACAAATCACTACAAGCAACATTATGTAGCAGTAAACCCCTCGGTACTTAGAACATGAGTAATAAAATATAGCCATTATGTAGATGAGACGACAAACACAAAGGCACCTTTACCAGACTAGGATCAAATGTACACACTTATAAACAAATGAAATATAAACCCTCTCATACAGATTAAAGGGTTCAACAACGAAACCTTTGCGATAATGAGCCCTTGGGGTTTAATAAAGGTTAAATGTAATCTACCTCAGGAATTAGGCTGAACTTTTCATCACACCTTTGAAAGTGGGTGTACTTATAGTACACCCACTTTCCGTCACTTACACGTCCGTTTGATTGTAGCCTGAAGCCAAAAAAAATGGGGCAAATGTTGTATTACTGACAGTGTTAAAATCCAGTAAACGTTAGAGATCTCGCTCTTTACAGTAGCTTTCGCATTTTTTTTCTAAACTTAAAGATTTTAAATGAAATGTTCAAAATTAGAATAGGCTCTTGAAAGGAACAAATAAATGTATTACGGCCAGCTCAGCTCCTGGAATTTATTTGAAAAATCTTACGTTCACACAATTTTTTGGGGAGGAATATTGTCAAGTAACAAGGCCCCGTTGGCATGACAACCTTCACTTCTTGATATCAATTTCTAAAGCCCATCCTACACAAGGAGAGGTAGTGACGTAAGTACCATGGGCACGTGTAATGTGTTTTTATGTGTGTTATACTTTATTCTGCACGGAATTATTTCTGACCTTTGTTTGCGAATATTGATTCGACTAGAGTCGTCTATCTGGGTACTCCAGGCTACCTCCTGTGACGTCTTACTTGTTTTCTAATGAAATTAAATTCGTTTGATATAAAGTATTGTATTATTGCTAACATTTAGCTTTGGGAAGAATTTGTTTACCTCGTGGACTGAAATTTAATCTACAATTGGCAGTGTTTACCGCACTGCGTCATTAACACAAAATAATTTGTTGCAAAACAGACACCATGCAGACTACATTACATACGAGTACCTATTTAGTATAGAAACAAGAATTTGGCACAACACTAAAATACGATGAATGCCAAAAAACCTCGTTTTACGTGATCCCAAAGACGAATACAAAACTATAAATGTTCAGAAACAACATTAATGGTTCCAGTCCTATTTAATCTGTGCTATAATCCAGAGACATCAAAGAACAAAAACAACATAAACACGTTAAAAGTCAGACTGGCAATATAGAGTAAAATTGCATGATTCTAAATTTGAATCCAGCTTACGTCGAAGTTTTAAAAAGGCAAAAGCATATTAGCGCTTTAGCGGTTTTATTGCTGACGGCATAATAGTACGTATTATAAATACAAATACGTACTAATATTGAAAGATCGATAATATTGTTCCGGTCGTGTGGCTTACGGTCGATACCTATGTGTTTAGTAATTCAGTGTTGCAGCTGGTGTTTGAACTACCAGTTTAAAAGCTCTAGTGAAAGTTATATTGGAATGTATCCTAGATGCTTTTGCGTTTAATCTTATCACACATTTATAATCTTCCTCGCAAAATAACCTCTATTGATTTCACAACATGTTAAGACGAATTACTTGCATTTATCAGAAGCGTAACGTAATCCAAATTATTCTCGGATCTGGTTTTAAAATACTTAGAAATATTTTAGCTTAGCCGCATAAATTTCAAACACCAATGGTGTTAAATAAAGTTGGCAAGTTTGAAATGCTGTTCATTAAATAACTAGACCTAGATCCGATGTTCTAGTCCACTTTTTTTTAAATAAAGAACAATCAATTTGTTATTCGTTCAGCGTGCTGTATTAGCAATAGGTATAAGAAACAATTGCAAGTTGACAAGCAAAAACAAAAAGCCATCAACATACAATTAGTTCATACAAGTATAATATTAAAAGACTAAAGACAAAAGGACCAAAGTCGTGCGAGCAGACCTACTGGACCGGTCCCCTAGTCCATCGGGAACAAATGGGGCCAATCAGTGTCCTGGGTGTATTGATCACAGTGTGATAACCTCACCAACGATTCCGTTGATAACTGCGAGGTATTGACCTGCAGCGGACGCGCCAATTTAGTAGCCCACAATCATTTGAAGACCATCACAGTTTGTTGGTATCAATGTACTGTTAACGCATGTTGAAGGCTAACCACTTGTAATGTCACTAACTCGGTAACAAATGGATAATACGCTTGGGAAACTGTATCTTGGGATCGTTTTATTGCCCACAATTCAATTATCGGGTTATTGACTGATTAGTCGTTTGCAATTTCAAAATGGTTGTGAATAAAAAGATATAGAGTACAAAAAACTTGTTCAGAATAGATAGAGATCTTATATATTAATCAATAGTAATTCAATTCAGAATTTTTATAAATAATACATATGGACAAGTAACACAATGTTATCTCTTGATTAAAACTGTCCGCATACATTTAGCCGGACTTAGAAAACCGCCAAGGCGCTAAGAATTGTAGAGAAGGCAAAAAATATTATTAACCGTCACTTCGTCACAAAACAGTACACAAGTAATAATTATCACACCTTGTGTAATAAGTAGAGTTAACAAGGTATAAATTCTCTACTTACGACTTATATTCACAGCATAACTTGAATCACTTATAATAGCAACAAAAACAGCAATGTTTAGCTCAGTGGCCGTACACAAAGACGACGTGTATGTACGCAATTTATTATCCCCATTTACTGCTGAAGCAAAATATGATTCCACCTTTGGCGTAATTGCTTACCATTCCGAGGCAAATACATGACATTGCAACATCGGAATGGGAACGTTAAAAAGCTTCACACTCAATCCTACTACCCTAGCTTTTATATTTCTTTCCATATTCATATTTTATAGTGAGTACTTAAGCAATTGTAGCTCATATTACCTTCCCCTTGCAGACAAATTCGCGTGAATATTCATTAGTATCGTGTCCAGTACCTCGGTGAGGACGAAACCAAACAAGACATTCCAGTCTGGCTATCATTCCAAGGAACTTGATGAGATCAAATTCGCAAAAACATAATAATAAAGTTATTTACGTATTTAATTTTATTCTTAAAGTAAAAAATAACATTGACATTATAAAGCTGACAAAGTGACTATAATTTATTAATAATAATTGCGTTTCATAATTAATTAAACATCGATAAGCCATTAAATAGCTCTGATATATTTTCCTGGTAAAATAACATTCAACCTTTGTAAACGGCCGCAGGATATAAGGTTCTATGTAACGTATACTTCTCGTTTCGTGTATTTAGGAAAAGAGCAATCAAAAGAGGCAATACTAAACTAATAGCAGCAATTATTTGCTGAGTACACACGCCAGTTTATCGGAATTATTCGTTTTCCTCGTAGTTATGAACGAATTTGGTTTGGATAAACAATTCAGTTTATTGTGTCTGTCAGTATGTGGAGTTACGATTTATTTATTTATTTTATTCTTTACAGACAGCTGAAATGATGTCCTATTTATAGACATACGATACAGACGACGATTATCATCTCCTACATTACCTACCTACATAGAACAAATAAAGTAGCTATTTTTATTCTGTAAGTAGATGTCACGGAAAAGCTTCAAGTTGTAATGCGGGAGCGGTGGTATGAGACCGTTACAAGTTGCTTATATTAAGTAATGGATAAATAACCCGGCGATCTCATTTTCTCCCCCAAGCACTAACCCTCATTCAGCCTGCAGTTTTATAATTCACCCTTAACTAAATTAAAATCGATCTGTCTGACTCCAGTCAAACCATAATCTTCCCCCTAGGGATGCCATATTCATACCCTAAGTTTTTTCAAGGGCATTTAGAACACAGACGTTATAAATGTCTAAACAGAATTTTTGTTCAAGTAATATAAGCTTCGTTTTCATCTCATTTGGAGAACAGTGTCTTTGTTGCGAACTACTGAGTTTACATCTATCATTTAGTTATATCAAAATAATAATACAGTATTACATTGACATCGGTTACATCTCCACTGCAAATCTGACTTCTCTAAAATTTGCTTTCGTAGAACATATGTACGACGTATACCGAGTAGAACAGAATGCTACAGAAATAGCAATTCGCGGTACATAGCGTACATACGCAAATGTATGTACTACTCGTGCACATATAAAAGTATATGAGATGACTACGTACCACACCCGCATATTTACAAGGCCTTATGTTACTGAGAATCAGCAAATTATTCAAAACAAATATTACTTTCTAATGTCATTAGATTTTGGTAGACACATTAAAGAAATTAAGGTCATTTTGGTAAAAACTCTTTGG